AACATCACGGTAAAGTTGTGAAGTATTCCTCTCTTCAGCTGTAAGTTCTGTGAGAATGGAGGTAGTGTCTCTTTCTCTGTTATTTCCAAGTATCTGGTACAGTTGGGCACAAAGTGGGTGTTCAGTAAATTCTTCTGGAATGATGAAAGCAGCTACCGCATATATTCACCGTGACTGGCTAAAGGCTTTTATGTATTCCATTCTGCAGCCAAGGAAATTCCATCCATCCACCCCTCCTGCTTGGGATTAGGGTGACCAACTGTCCCAGTTTGCCTAGAACTGTCCCAGTTTTATCCCTGGGGGTCTTGTATTCCAAATACCCCTCCATTCCTGGCAAACTGGGATGGTTGATCCCTATGCCTGGGATTATTCTTCCCTTTCAGGAATGTGAGGAGTATGTGTGAGGGGAATGCTGTATGGAACCCATTTCTGTAACTGAAGAAAGGCTTTGCCTTCACATGCCTGACCTTCTTTCTTGAGTTCTGCAGAAGGGAAGAGACTTGTCCCAGAATACACAGCTATGAAGGGGTAGATCTGGAACCTGAGCTCAGATCTCCTTATATTTCCTTAAAATGCTGTCTCTGAAAAGAGACCATAAATATGCCTCTTAATAAATTACCAAGTTACTCGCTGCAGTTTTTTTTTTTTGTCCCCTTATCTATAGATTGAGCAGTTTGGACCAGATCAACATTTCCCACTCTACTCTATGGATTGATGTCATTGGAATTACTGGTGGAATTTTGTGGAAAGCTACATTGCTACACAAGTGTCCAGAAATTCTAAACAATTGATCTAGAGTGAGGCTCAGGAATCTGCAACTGAAAAAAGAAAGTTCTAAGTAGCTGTGGGGTGGTGTACACTTCTGATTCCCCCTGGAAGGCGGAGGCAGCCTGGGAAACTTAGTGCAGGCCCTAAGCAATATAACAAGTCCCTGTCTTAAAAAAAAAAAAAAAAAAAAGGACTGGGGTTGGGTTCAGTGTTAAAGTATCTTGGGTTCAATCTCTACCCATCCCTAATTTTTTTCCGGGTGATTCTGATGTACAGCTGATCTGGCCCTCCCAAGCCGAGCTTCCAGTCTGGTTAAGGTGGCCTCCTGCCATTTCTCAATGTGTGGCTTGCCCTTTTCTTAACAACCCTGAGTTCTTAGCTTATTTCTCCCCAGCATGCAGTCATGTAATATGCCTTGACCCAGACACCAGCTGCTGTCCCTGTGATGGTGTGTGGTTATGGGTTTTAAGGACATACCTATAAATGGAGGTAGGTAGGGAGCTCTTCATCAGAGCATCTTCAGTCCAGTCTTTGGGGGTGAAAATGGCAGAGAAGGGAGCAGGGATGCGCCCCAGCCAGGAGGTAGGAAGAGGGGACTTAAAGTCTTCTTGGCCCCTGAGGGAATGGCTTTCTGTTTTCCTCCTGAAGCTTCCTTCTCTCTCTGCTATCCCAGAGTCCATGGAGAATCTCCATATCCCTTGTGGATGTTGTGACAGTGGGTGGCAGGGGATTGCCAAGGATGACTCACTTTTTTTAGTTCCTGGGGAGATTAGAGAAGTTTGAGTGGGTCCCCAGGCTCTATGTGAGGAAGACAAACATATTACTCCACAAAAGGGGTCCCTTTGGCTCACTTTCTTTGCAACTCAGTATATAAATATTTCACTATGCTTTAGAATCTTTGAAGCCCTTCTACACAAACTCAATTTTTCTTGTGGTTCTAACAAGTTATGCTCTTCCTCTTGCCCGAAATATCTTGCCTCTTCCTCATCTACTGATAAACTCCTCCTTTAGGAAAAGCTCAGATATTGCCTTCTGCAGGAAGACTTCCTGCCTCTGCAGCAGAGATACTCTTTTTTTTTGTAGTTGTAGATGGACAGAATGCCTTTATTTATTTTTATGTGATGCTGAGGATTGAACTCAGTGCCTCATGCATGCTAGGCAACACTCTGCCACTGAGCTACAGCCCCAGGCCCCCAGAGCTTCTCTTTTCCACTGTACATCTTGAAGATGCTCACACAACAGCATGAATCAGAGACAGACAAGGACCCAGATGACTGTGTATGATGCTGTCCTAGACTGGAAGCAAACTGAGGTCAGGGCCAGGTATAGAGTAAGCCCTCAGGAAATCAAGTCAGAATTGCTAGAGATGGGTCCAGGCATGAGTGATTTTTTTTTTAAAGCTCTCATGATTTAAAACCACTTGGAATGTCCATGTAGGATTAAGAACCACTCCTTGGAGATGGGAATGGGGCTGAGCCTAAAGTCAGGGCCAAATGACTCAGGCTCTGGGGAGTAGGTGGTCATGATATGGCATCACCTAATTTCTATAATGTGACTTACAGCTAACCTGTCCTTCAGGTTAGCAAAGTGTTCTTTAGTTGTAACTAGTGTTTATTAATTCTGCTATGCTCTGAACTTTTCAGAGTGTGGGATAAAATTATGAATGGAAAAGCCGTGGTCCCTTTCATGAAACTTGCAGGGAGAAAGGGTCAAAGATGACTAAACAAAAAATATTGGGGAGAGATAAGTATCTCAGGAGAGAGTAAAGGCATGTGTAAGGGCCTGGAAGTGGGAATGCAAGTGGAACGTTTGAAGGCTTGAAAGAAGGCCCATGGGGCTTGTGCTCAGAGAGTGGTGAGAGGGGGTGCTACTGTGCCTACAGAGAGAGGCAGAGGCCAAAATAGTGGAGACTTTCTGGCCATGTGGTATATATGTCTTTCTTTTATATCCCCCAAATAATGAATAACTACTGAGAGGTTTAAGGAAGGGCTACATCATGATGAAATGTACGTTTTCAAGTGATCACTCTGATTGGTGTGAGTAGAAAGGATTTAAGGGAGACCAGTCAGGGGCCTGTTCATAGTCCAGGACAGAGATGGCATTGATCTGGTCTGAGGTATGACAGTGTACAAGGAGAGAGGATTTGAGAGCATGGATTTGATAAATACTTTGGAGTAGAATCAATGGAACTTGGTGATGGGCTGTGGTGGGTGATGCAGAGGAAGGAAAAAAGCTCAATTGTTGACTTAATAAATATTTATGGAGTGTCTTCAATGAACCAGTCCATATTCTGAACAAAGAGCCAATGACATCTGAATCTTATGTTTTGTCAGAGGAAAAAAGATAATGAAAACAAAAACAAAAACAAAACAAACAAAGAACTAAATGATACAATCTAGTCAAGGCAATGAGTGCTATTATGTGATACCCATTGCTACAATACATAACAACAACAACAGCACTCCAAACCCCCAGCAGCACTACCCTCGCCAAGACACACTAATTCTGTATAGCTGTGTGCAATAAAACAGAGCCCATCTGGTTGGTATACTCTTGGAATGACTGGTCACATGGGATTTCCATGCCCTGGAGTCATATGGGAAAAATTGGCTATGATCCAATGTTTCATGACCTAAGACCAAATTCAGCACAATAAATTCTGTATTTTATATGTCAGATGGAGCCATCTTTCTCAGATACACCTATGTTTTCAGAAACTATAGTTGTGTGCAAGGTTTGGAGATCTATGACTTAACAAAGTTTGCTGGGAAAGTAAAGAAGAGAGGAAAACCATCACAGAGAGTTGATAGTTCAATGATACACTGTGTCTCAGTGAGTGTTGTGTTGCTATAACACAATGGAGCATACATCTAGCCTTTAGTCTCTGATTTTTTTAAAATATTTTTTTTTTTAGTTGTAGAGGGACAAAATAACTTTATTTTGTTTATTTATTTTTATGTGGTACTGAGGCTTGAACCCACCTCCTCACACCTTCGAGGCAAACGCTCAGCCACCGCTGAGCCACAACCCCAGCTCCTAGTCTCTGATTTTATTTATGTAGATTAATGCTTTGGGTTTGATCCATGCTACTCTCTCTGTGTGTGGTCTATCTTGGTCAGTGTTCTGTGGGCACTTGAACAACAGATGGATATCCTGTCATCGATGTCAGGTAACTTGCTGAAGCCATTCTTCTAGTTTTCTTCAGTGGCATTTTTAAATGTCTGTTAATTAGTCTTGGAATTTCCAACTGTTAGGATAGAATGCTCAAAGAAATTTCTTGAGATAGAGTCTCATGCTCAGAAAGCAAAATTTATTAGCAGGTAAGGCCTGTGAGGCTGCCCAGGAGAGTGGCACAGCAGCCAGAATTATTTGAATAGGGTTTTTATATCTTTTTAAACAGGGAACAAGAGCAAGCTGAAAATGACCTTGAGTGCATCAAGCTATTGACCTGGGGTGCAGGTGTTTGGGTAACATCAGATTTTTGTATTTAGGGAACTTGGAAGTGGGGTGGTTATGGGAACAGAGTATCTTAAGTTTCTTTTTCTTGGCAGTTTATAAGTTTTGGTTCTGAGTCCCAGAACCAAAATGGAGTTACTAATGTCTAGAATATCCCATTATTTTCCCCTTTTTGTTTTATTATGGCAGAAGGCTGAAGGTCAGTCTTCTGTAGCTACTTGCAGCTGGGAAGGGGCGGTGGTCTCCAGGTAGGGAAGTGTGGTCATGGGGTTTAAGGTTTTTTTTTTTTTTTAATAGTTTCCAGGTGTGGTCATTCTGTGATCCTCTGGGTATCCTTCAGGTTGGAGTCTTATGTAGCTACCCAGGACCATATGGTTGGTTGACTGGTGAAGATATTTATCTGGTTCATCAAGAAATTTTGGAAGCAATTGAAAATGCAAGGACCTATAAGAATTACTAAGAGAATCATTGGTAAAGGCCCGATTAGGGGGGCTATCCAGGGCCAGAGCCCCCTAGGAGCTCCACACCCCAGGGAGAGTGGGCTCTTTTAGCTATCTCTGTGGCCAGTTTCATTTGTTTATTTGCCGCATCTTTAACTATTTACAATTACAATGTCAGAGTCTTCATTTCAAGTTAAGCATCCATCTGCTTTAATGTGATTTTCCCCCCATATATTAAATGTGTAAGTCTAGGGAGGAAAATGTGTTGAAAAGTCTGGGAACTTAGGCAGAAGGGCTTTCTATATGGCAAGAACATCTCCTCCAGCAAAGTAGTCTTCATAAAGTCCATTTTATATCCTTGTTCCTCAAGCTGTAGATAAAGGGGCTTAGCATAGAGGTGACCACTGTGTATATCACAGATGCCACCATTCCAAAATCTGCTGAAAAGGCCAGGAGGATGGAGCAGAGCCAGGACATGGCCACCAACAACTGGGGACACATGACAGTGGTGTAGTACAGAGGAAGGCAGATGGCCGTGTAGCGGTCATAGGCCATGATGGCCAGCAGGAAGTCATCCAGCAGGGCCAGTGCCATGAAGTAGTACATCTGCAGGAGGCACCCAGTGTGGGAGATGGTGTGCTGCTGCGTGTGGATGTTCACCAGCACCTTGGGGACGATGGTGCAGGTGAAGCAGGTATCGATGAAGGACAGGTTGGCCAGGAAGAAGTACATGGGTGTGTGGAGGTGGGGGTCAGAGCCAATGGCCAGGATGATGAGCAGGTTGCCCAGCAGAGTGACCAGGTACATGCCCAGGAAGAGCCCAAACAGGAGAGGTTGCTGCTCTGGGTGCTCAGAGAAGCCCAGGAGCAGGAAGTCAGAGATGATGGTTTGCTTTCTAATTTCCAAGATAGAGAAAATAGAGCAGATTGTTGTTTACAAAAAGTAGGTTCAAAAAATCACAGAGTCTAAGAACTGTGATGTTGTTTTCCTCTGTTCCTTCAAGAGGACACTGAGATTCAGTAGTAGATATAATTACATGTATACAAACATGAAAAGTTTGGGGACCATGGACCATGATAATCAGGCATCACCTTGGGGGTGTTGGTGACTTGGTTCCTGTGATCAGGCAAGTTGACCCCCATGTTTCTGAATGAGGCTGAGCTAGATTTCAGCTAGAATGAACCTCTCTAAGCTTTAATTCCTTTGTATATTTTACAACAACTTTTTCAATCTCTATGTTGTGGAACTTGTTTTGGGTTCATGTAATTCTAGGATTTAGTGGGTGATGCGAGGTGCACCTATATATGTGAGTGTGCATTTAAAGGAAGTGAAGCTGGGCACCATGGTGCACACCTGTAATCCCAGCAGCTTGGAAGGCTGAGGCAGGAGGATCATGAGTTCAAAGCCAGCCTCTGCACTTAGCGAGGCTGTAAGCAACTGAGTGAGACCCTGTCTCTAAATAAAATACACAAAAAGAGGAGGGTGGGGGGAACTAGGACTAGGGATATGGCTCCGTGGTTAAGTGCCCCTGGGATCAATCCCTGGTATACTGAGAGTGCTCTGCCCTTTTGTCTTCAAGGAACTTTCCAATGAATTAACATGGATGTTAGAACATCATAAATGGAACAGCCCTTTGTCATTACAGGGCACATTGTGTCATTTTTGTCATCAACAGTATCAGCTGCAGCATCAGTTTCAGGATCATGGGCTTTAAGGTCTAGAGTGCTGGGAATCTTTTCTCTTTCTTTTTTCCTCTGTCCTTCTTGGGCTGTCTCTTGCCTCCCTGATCTTCCATTTTTTGTCTGTGCAGTGTGTACCAGCTTCATAGAGTCACTGAAGTTATCGTGAGATAGCATGTGAAAGGCATGCCTTCAATGTGGGAGTGATCATTACTCCCAGCGCAGTGGCAGATGATGCACCTGAGCCGGGACCCACAGCGCCTCGCTCATATAGACAGCGGGCTTTACAGCTCAGTTTCTCACTCGCCTCTTTTCACTTTTGTAAATGTTTGCCCCCTTTGAGCCTCACTTTACTGGTAAATAGAAGCATATAATCATCCTGCCTGGTGGGTGTACTGAGGGGTCACAGGCTGGCTGGAATCACTTGAAAAATTTCTTTGTGAACCATGTCGTAGAGTTGAAATGAGCAATTCCAAGGTTCCTGATTATTAGCGGGAGGAAGAGATGGAATATGCCGTGGCAGCAGCTCATCTCATACCTGCTTAATGTGATGATTACAAGGATAATGTGCCCTCTAGAATGGGACAGGATTTCCTCACTTTTTACTCTCCCTGTGACTTTGAGAAGGTCACCTTCTCTTTCTGGTGTCCTCCATGTGTTTACATATTTGCCATTGTTGATAGTAAATGAAGAGGGCCATTGATTCTGGTTACTACCTGATGGGAGAGGGTCTTGTGAGTTGGGTGACGTAAAATGAAGAGTCATCATGATCATCAATGTCACTAACCTTGGGTGATTATGACTGCACTCCCACTTGTCAGTGGCAAAGCATTTTTGGAGTCTGGAAACCCTGGGCAAACTCGTCAGATGACTTAATCATTCAATCCCCAATATCATTAACTATGACGGGGATAAAAAGTACATTTTAAGCAGTTATTTGATGGTTTAAAAAAAAGGATGTAAAGAGTTTGGTAAATTGTAAGTGCATATGAAGGGGGAGAGTGTTGGTGTTGACTTAGGGTGGTGGCTGAGAGTGATTCTGGGAACAATGCCCACCGGGGACTCATGGCCTCATGTTGCGACGGATGCTGTGGTGGTAGGGTTGATGAGGCAAATGAAAATAAGATGCTCTTTCCTGACAAAGGGCCGTTCAGTTTACAAAGTTCTCATGTCCGCAGGTTTTGTTACTGTACGGGTCCTGTGTTCTGACACTGCTGCAGCCTGGGGAAGTTGTTCTGAGTCCTGTTCTCCTTAATGATCACAGGTTGGACCATCAAGGGCCTGATGAGCACTAGAGGTAAGTGCCCCTCATTGATAAGAAGAGTCAGAAAATGACTGGTTGAGAGGGAGAAAGGAAGAGGAGGGGAAAAAGGAAAAAGGGAGAAGCTGTACGGTGTGGGTGTGCATGTGTGTGTGTTTGAGTGTGTGTGTGTGTGCACCTTAGGTAGACTCTGCTATCTTTCCAGTCTTGTGCCTCCATGCTTACAGAGATTCTGGCCAAGCTCTGTCCCTGGTCCCATCACTGAAGAGATTGGGTTCTCTGCTTCTTTGTCTCTCCAAGAAGGCATCATGGGAGCCACAAGTTCCTTTCTGCACATTCTGAAGACTCAGGGCAGGAGGTCCGTGCCCTTAGACACAGGATCCAGGAAGAGCTGCTGACTTTCTGCACTCTGTGTCTCCTGGGACTGAATCCCAGACCTTCTAGTTAACGATAGGGCAATAGTCCAACTTCCTGATGTCCTCTCTGGACTGTGGCCTCCAGAGTTTCAGCAGTGATAGTGATGCCTCCATTCAGAGTGGCCAGGCCGCCACTGCTCCTGCTGCTTCCCCTGGGTGAGATTCAAATTGGTTTCATTATAATTATCCCTGACCCTGAACAGGGCCTGCCCTGGTCTTGGAGTTCACACTTTCTAAGTAGAGTCCAATCTTCTTTGTGAAACACAGTACCTTCCAAGTAGACAGTGTTTTTATCAGTTTTTATGCTGCTGTGACCAAAAGACCTCACAGGAACCATGTAAAGGAGGAAAAGTTTATTTGGGGCTCATGGTTTTAGAGGCCTCAGTCCATAGATGACCAACTCCCTTGCTCTGGCCCCAGGGTGAGGCAGAACTCATGGCAGAAGGGCATGGCCGAGGACAGCAACTCAGGACACAGCAACAAGGAAGCAGCGAGAGCGCTCCACTCATTAGGGACAAAATATAAACCCCAAAGGCATGACCCAGTGACCGACTTCCTCCAGTTCTACTCTTCCCGCCTTTAGTCACCATCCATATCAGTGAATTAAGACATTGATTAGGTTACAACTCTCTTATCATTTCACCTTTGAACTTTCTTGCATTATCTCACACATGAGTTTTAGGGCATTTCACATCTAAGCCAAAACATCAAGTAAAAAGTAATAGTGAAATAGATGGGTGTTCATAGTCATGAGCTTCACATGTCCTGTAGAAGTCACAGTCTTTTTTTTTTGTGACCTGATGGAGCCAAAGGATTACCAATATGCAGAACGTATGGAAGGTACAGGTGCTGATCTGGGAATCCATGGATATATTTGTTGATCTTTGTTGTAAACTCTGCCTTACATACGAAAGAAGGTCTAAACATATCTTGCTGCTTAGAGAATGAAAATAAAATAAATGTCCATTTATAAATAAAATAAAATAAAATGAATGTCCATGTTCTCACCTCTCAGAAGTTCAGTAAGATAGAATGATTGATTTCTATCACTTAGAAACCCCTTCTTTGCCTTTCTCTGATAACATTCCTCATTCCTGTTCCTTTCCCCTTAAAGGAAACCATTATGGTGAATATTCCTTTAGTTTTCTTTATATTTTTATCACATACACACATCTAACTGAAAATTATATTATCTGGGTATGCATTTTTATTTTTAAAATAAATTTTGCTGTGTATATTTAAAGTTTTTAGCACAAGGTACCGGAGACATACAGATAGTAAAACAAATTATCATGTAGTAGTGAAACAAATTACCATGCCCATTATTTCATATGGCTGTGCATTTTTTAGCATGCATTTGTCCTTTCTGTGAAACTTTTTTATTTTAAATAATTTTCTTATTTTTGTCAGTACTAGATGTTTGAAGTTGGTTCATGCTAATGCACGTTGCTGTGGAGCAGTGTTGTTTATTGATGTCTGGTTCAGGCGTCCCAACACAAGCTGTCATTGACAGCTGTGTTGTGGTTTCTGGACTTCGGAATTTTTCCTTTCTCTCTCTCTTTTTTCTTTCTCCCTCCTTCCTTTCCTCTCTTCCTTCCTTGAATCTGGAAATTGAACCCAGCGATGCCTTACCTATGAGCTACATCCCCAGCACTTTTTATTTTCTATTTTCAGACAAGGTCTCACTACATGGGCCAGGCTGGACTCCAGCTTGCAATCCTTCCGTCTCAGACTCTCAAGTTGCTTGGATTGTAGGCATGCACCAACTGCACCCAGCAGGACTTTTGAATTTTAAATGGTATGTGTGTGTATCATCTATGATTCTTCCATTAGGTTGAACAGAACTCTCTGTTAACCAGACACACARCATGTCTACCACTTAATAAATTAAGTAGGCCTATTAAAGGCTAGAAGTATCATATCAACTTAGATCAGGTTTTGTTTCTAAATGAGTTTGCTGCAGGCTTTTAAAAAAGCTTTGTGTTGCCAGCGTCTTTTGGATATCAGAACTGTAGATATTATGATGGTGTGATGATATCTCATTATGTACATTCAAAACTATTTCTTAAAATCAGTGAATTATAAGACATATACAGAAAAATGCATAAAACATAAGCACATTTTCCAATGAGTTTTTACAAAGCAACACCTGTGATCATTTCTTGGATCAAGATGTGGAGTACTGCCTGCTCCTGAAGCTGTCCTTTGTCCCATTCAGCTAATCACTCCTCTTCTTTATAAGCTAAATAACCACTATCCCTTCCTTAACATTTATTTTAGATTTTTATGCTTTTGAATTTATATAAATGGAATGACGTACTATGTAGTCTGTTTTTTTCTTACTTCTTTGGTTCAACATTTTATGTTTGTGAGATCCACCCAGATATTTCTATATAGCTGTGGTTTGTTCATTTTCATTATTGTGAGATGCATCATTGTGCGATGATATAATGTATTATTCATTGAATTTCCTGTTGAAGGAATACCCCAGGATTTTGCCAATAAGAATAATATTGTAGCTGGACACAGTGGTGCACGCCTGTGATCCCAGCAGCTGTGGAGGCTGAGGCAGGAGGATTTTGAGTTCCAGGACAGCCTTAGCAACTTAGTGAGACCCTGTCTCAAAATTAAAATAACTGATTAAATAAAAAGGAGTAGGGATATAGCTCCTTGGGTTCAATTCTCAGTACCATAAAACAAAACAGAATAAGACAAAACAGAATTGAAAAATGCTGTAATAATGGCTCGGACACACACACATTTGTTGAATAATTTAATTCAATTGAACTGAACTGATTTAAACCATTCAGAGAAGAAGCTCTCATAACAGGGACCCTCAATTTATGACTATTATACACCCAGTTATGAGGATCATTTATAAATATCAAATTTTTCCTATTTAAGAATCCAGTAATTTTTTTTGTTAGATTCACTTTTTTTTTTTTTTTCCCCTGAGAGGGGTCTCTTATGTTGCCCAGGCTGGTCTCCAACTCATGGGTCCAAGTGATCCTCTCACCTCAGCCACAAGGAGCTGAGACTATAGGCATGTGTCACCATGCTCAGCTTGATTCAGTCTTTTTAAAAAATAGTAAAAGTTTCTGTTTCTATTTTTATTTTTTCTACTAAAAATCATATATTCAAGGTTCAATGTGATGATTTGATATACTTGTACACTGCTTAGGGGTCATTTCTAATCAAATTAATTGCAGATCCATCGCTATACCCTTTGTGTTTGTGTGTGTGTGTGTGGTAAGGGCAATTAGGAAATTTCAAGTAACTAAATACAGAATTATTAACTGCAGTCACTATACGCTGCATTAATTCCTCAAGACATATTCACCTTGAAACTGAACATTTGTACCCTTTTACTGTTATCTCCCCACTTCTCTCATGCTTTTGTCCCTGGAAGCCATCATTCTACACCCTGCCTTTTAGGTTCCACCTATGCATGACGTCATTTAATACTCATCTTTCTGTGCCTGGCTTATTTCACTTAACATAGTGTCCTTTAAAGTCATCCCTGTTGTCACAATGGGCACGGTTTCCTTCTTTTTAAGGTGGATTAATATTCCAGTGTATGTGCACATTTTCTTTGTTCATTTATATGTTGATGGACACTTAGGTGGGTTCAGTATTTTGCAAATAATTCTGCAATAAACATGGGAGTGCAAGTATCTTTTCAGGATACTCATTTCCTTTGGATATTTCCTCAGAAGCTGGAGCATATCACAGTTCTATTTTTAAATTTTTGAGCAAGCTCCATGTTGTTTTCCATAATGGCTATATAAATTTACATTCCCATCAAGAGTGAATAAGGATCTCCTCTTCTTCACATCCTTGTCAACATTTATCTTTTGTCTTTTTGATAATAGACATTTTAACAGGAGTTGATATCACATTGCTTTTAATTTGCATTTCTCTGATGATTAGTGATATTGAGCATTTTTCACACACCTGTTGGATATTTGCATGTCTTCTTTTGAGAAATATCTATTCAGGTCTTTAGCTCATTTTAAAAATTGGTTTGTTTTCTTGCTATTGAGTGCTTGTGTTGTTTGTTTCTATCTCTTTGTTAAACTTCTAGTTTGTCCCTGTGTTATTTTCTTGATGTTATTTAGTTACCATCTGTGTTCTTTTGTAGTTCACTGAGCTTCTTTGTGATAATTATTTGGAATTGTTGTAAGTTCTCTATTTCTTTAGGGTCTGTTACTGATGTTTTATTTTGTTCCCCTAGTGATGTCATCATCTTTGGTTGTGTCGGTGTCTGCATTTGTTGAAGCAGCCACTCATTCAGTCTTTATAGGTTGACTTTGGCCAGAAAAGCCCTTTATCAGTCAGCCTGTCTTCAGATTCTAAGCTGGCTACATGGTAGGGTCTAATGTGGGCTTGCTGCTGGAGTCCTCAGGCCTGGTGTCTGGTCAGTGGTGGATGGGCCTGGCCTGAGTCTGTGCGGTGAGACTTGCACTTGAGTTTATGGCAGCAGGCCTAGCACCAGGGTCCATTTCAGTTGGCCAGTTCACTGGGTCCTAGTGAGGATGAGGGCCCAGAGCCTATATCCATAGGGACACCTAGATTCATGGGCATTGTTCAGACACTG